ATCTGGTGGTCGTCGACTTCTTCTCCAAATGACTCGAACTCATCCCAGTGGCCTCTTCCATTAGGACAACAACACTGAGGAACACTGTTCGCTCAATTCGGACTCCCTCACTTCGTTGCGGATGACGGGACTCAATTCACCTCCGCCGAGTTCCAAAGCTTCTGTCGGAAGAGAGAAATAGAAGATTTCGGGGCGTTGTTGTTCACTCCAGTCTAATGGACGTGCGGAACGCTTTAACGTTCAAATGCTCAATACGGGAAGTTGAAGAACAACAGATCGGCAGACGAATCTCTTCACACACTCCTCTCAACTACAAAAACACGCCGTCTGCCGCTTCGCACGATGGACACTGTCCTGTAGACAATTTGAAAGTTGAAAGACGTCTTCGAAGCACATTGGACCAGCAGAAAAAAAAGCCCGACACAAGAAACCACTGCAAACAAAAAGGAGACTATGGTAGCTAAGGAAGTTCGAGCCAAGACCTGCCGACACTGCCTACGCACATGACTTCTGCCCTGGAAACCCAGTGGGTTTTAAGACGCATCCCGCACCGATGCGGAAGCTTCTCTCCGCGATGTATCAGATAATGGATCTCTTTGAAAACGTCACGTCAATCAGCTTCTCCCTCGCACTTTGCCAGAACCGACACGTGAACCCAGTCATTGCTGTCTCAGTCATCTCGACACATCAGGACCCAACACTTTCACTGAGCGAGAATGGGAGACCAACAATTAAGCAGAGGGGGAAGGAGAATTTTTTAATCAATCAATCTCCCCCAACGGCATGCGTTGGGGGAGAGGGGAAGAGATCGATTATTCTCTGCGCTGTACTATATTCGCTCAGAGCGTGCGCCAGAAGAGTATGGATGCAGAGCGGCGAGAGCCAGAGAGACGAGAGGCGTCAGCAGAGTAAGGGCAGATGGAGAACTCTAGGGGATATCTCCCCTCGAGGGGTATAGCATATGACCCCAGGTTTATATATAGAGAGATGCTGGACCCTGATTGTAAACACTTGTGAAGCTACGAAATGGTGCTCAAGGTTGTATAAATCCCTGTTAAATCACGAAATGGTGTTCTAGGTTGTGAAAATCGCCTTGTGAACACCTGTAAACAATGTCTAAAGTTACGGTAATCTGATGGTAACCTCTCTGCGGTACGCAATCGTAGCTGTGGAAAACAATGGTGTCGAAGGGCATAGGCCGTCATTATCTAATCCATCAGACAGGTTGATTCAAGGCCGGTTTGCGCGCGATA